CATTTTTATCCTTTAATGTCACTTTAAGTGTTAAAAAACAAAACTTTAAAAAATTAAGTTAAATAGTATAAATAACCCCCCAAAAAAATGTTAAAGCCCCACCTCCTCCATGTACACACTTATGAGCGTAAGCACATACATCAGGTGCTCCTACGTATAAAAACAGTGATTTCTCCACACATTCTGGGAATCGCCGTTCATTCCGGAGTGATAGCAATAATTCTCAGGCTATTATTCACAATTGACTCTAAACTGATGACCTGTAAAACCTTTTAAATCTTCACCAATAGACAGTTTTAAAGCTTGACATGTTTGGCATCTGTTTACCCAATGCAACCTCATCTTTTATACCTAATCAAAAAATTGGGTTATATTTTGTGTTTTTGTGCACTAAAACTAACTTAAGTCTATTTTTTGCTTAACAGTTGTAGTAATACCATGCGGCACAAAACTGCAGGTGCCACCATCTTGTTTTACAGGGTCTCTGCTTTCGGGAAATATATAATTCTGGGGGATTTTAAACAATATTAAGGCCTTAAAATGTGCATTTTAACATGTGTATAAAAAAAGTTGCAAAAACGTCTCTGGCAGCGAAATGGTTAAATATTCATGTAAAAAAAAAAGAATGCGAACAGCTTGAGTATTTATTTTAATACATTTGAAAAAGAAGGCAATATGCCTATCTATTCCCAAAAATATAATTTTAATTACATCCACAATTTGAAAAACCCACTAGAGAGCCCAAGCATTGCAATGGACCATCAAACTGGGGACAGGACACACCACGCAAATGGCAATTTAAATGTATTTCAACCATTTTTCTATGGCAAAAACAACCAGACTGATAAATGCATCCTACCACCAACAGTCTCTATCAACACCGTGAAACAATCTATGGTGTTGGTAGTTGGCAGCCTTGATCCATTTGGTTGTATTTGCAATTAAAAGTAGTTGGAACTGGTTAAAATTCCCATGCGAAGTGTGTGGCCAGCATGTGATCAGAAAAATTTGTGTCATTGGTAAGTACAGGTACAGAGACCCATCAAATGATATGAGAGAATTGTTTGTTCTATAATTTTATGATAATATGGTGAAATGAAAGACCCATTTTAGATATTACCAGTAGCTTACGGTGTACTTTTAATGAATACAATGTTCTGCTTTCCATAACCGGATTATTCCACTATCTGTTATTGAATAGGTTGTATAAAAAATGTAAAGCATTTTTAATATAGGGATATTGTAGTGCTAAACTGCTTTGGGATCTAGAGTTTAATTAATCCTTCATAGACCTGTAACTGTAATAAATGATCCCTGCTAAGAAATTCTCCAGGGAGAGAATAGAATAGAAATATTCATCAAGACCATTTATTGGCAGAGTCACAATAAAGCACAGATTCAACAGCCAACAACAGAACCAGAACATTGGTAATTTCATAAAATGTTTGACTTTAGGATCTCTTTACAAAATGTTTTACACTGAGGCAACATTTTTGCATCTTTTTGCAGAGAACAATCAATTTTACTGGGCAATGCTCTTGTTTCAGATAGGTTCATTGTTAGCTAAACAGGAACTAAAGTCTTCTAGGTGGGGGCGAGTGTTTGCCCTATTGTATGCCCAGCATAGTTGCACACTATGGCACACTTATCTCTTAGCGTGCCCTCCTTAAATGTTGGTGAGTCCAGGTTTGCAGTTGCTGCTCATTCCCTTTGATGGTTGCTTCTTTGGGGCTCGTTTCACTCCTCTTCAGCCATTACCTTTTAGCGTGCCCTCCCTATGCATCGGTGGATCCAAGTTCACAGTTGCTGCACCTTCGCCCTCATTGTTGCTTCTTTGGGGCTCATATCACTCCTCTTCAGCCATTACCTCTTAGCGTGCCCTCCCTAGGCATCGGTGGATCCAAGTTCACAGTTGCTGCACCTTCCCCCTCATTGTTGCTTCATTTGGGCTGTATCACTCCTCTTCGGCCATTACCTCTTACCTCTTAGCGTCCTCTCCTTAAGTCCTGATGGGTCCAGATTCACAGTTGCTGTTCCTTCCCTCTCATTGTTGCTTCTTTGGGGCTGATATCACTCTTCTTCGGCCATTACCCCTAACCGTGAACTCCTTAAGGGCTGGTGGGTCCAGGTTCACTATTGCTGCCCCTTCCCCCTTATTGTTGCTGAAAGAACATTTTCAGCACTTACAGAAAATACCTGTTAATTTTGCCAGAAATGCCATGTGCTGGTCACTTACAGGGAGCCAAGCAGGCAACAAAAACAATTTTACCTTTCTTGTGAAAACATCCAATCACATCAGCCCTAAGGTAATGGGGATTACCAAACGACTTAAAGTCTAGTCTGGGTGGCAACCATGGCTCCCTCCATTGATACAGTTAAGTAAAAGAAATGTAGCCACCCAGGAACAGTAAATGTGTTGTTTGCAGGATTATTAGGTGAAAATTTAAGGTAAAAAACTCTGAAAAAATGGAAACTAATGCAGCCACCCCATCTAAGGACTGGTAAGCTGTGACATGTTCTATTTTTGTTTTTAGGTTCAGATTTGCTCTATTTCTTTTCTTTTAAATTCCTGTGACACAGAAGCTGCAAATGGTGCTGTCAAGAAAGTCCACTAAACATGGACAAGACAAACCAAACAGAGGCTATAGAATTTGTCCTGCTTGGATTTGGGAAACTTAACCATTTTAGGACTTTAATCTTCATGGTGTTTTTCACTATTTACGTTGCCACATTGTTTGGAAACCTCCTTATCATCATCTTAGTATCTGCAAGTTGTCACCTCCATACTCCAATGTACATCTTTCTCATTCATCTTTCCGTATGTGACGTTGTGTTTACCACAAACATCGCTCCTGAAATGTTGTATCATATACTGAGTGAAGTTGGTAAGGTGTCCATGGCAGGGTGCATATCACAATTCTATGTGTATGGTTCCTCTACAGTTGCAGAGAGCTTCATTCTGACTGCCATGTCCTATGATCGTTATCTTGCCATCTGCAATCCTTTACGTTATACTTCTATTATGGAACACAGGGTTTGCCTGAAGTTTGTAGGTGCTTCTTGGCTGGTAGGACTCCTAGTAACTCTCAGCACTTCTTTAATGGTGTTTACTAATAATTTCTGTGGACCAAACATTATTGACCACTTCATTTGTGAACTAGATCCACTTTTAAAACTGTCATGTTCCAATACATCGCTGTCGGAAACCTTAATCTTCATATTGTCAATCCCTATAATAATTATTCCATTTGTATTCATTATAGTATCTTACATGTGTATCTTTCTGACTGTTCTCAAAATTCCATTCAGTACTGGAAGGTGGAAGACCTTCTCCACCTGCAGCTCACATCTGACATCGGTGAGCACCTACTATGGAACCCTGACCGCCATATATGTGGTTCCAAAAAGAGGCCGAGCACTCTCTAAGGCTTTGTATGTCTTGTATACAGTGATAACTCCATTATTCAATCCAATCATCTATAGTCTGAGAAATCAGGACATGAGAAAGGCATTTGAGAGGTTGTTAAACAAGAAAAAAATAAATCAGAGTTGAATCTTGCCTGTTATGTTGGGTTCTTTATTGTGCTACGGCATGCTACCCAGCATTGATTTTGGAATGCATGGAATATTGACTCCAAATCTGAGTTATGTACTTTCTCTTGAAGAGCAAGAAAATGTCCCACCATAAGGCTTCATGAAGTTTATTTCCTTTTATCAGGCTCAAATACCTAGAATCATTATTGAGCTATGAATACCCTGCCAAGGTATTCATAGGTAAACTTACCAAGTATACATATTTTCCTCTTATGGAGTGTTTTTGTACTAATCTGTGTCAAATTTCCTCTTACATGAAAATATTGCATGTATTTAGGTTGTAAACCATGTACCAGCAGAACTCCCTGGAGATGGAAACTCTTCTTGCCTATTAGTACCATCTGTTAACTGTATTGTCAGTGAGGGAAACAGATATGTTGTTGGTTTGGCACCCTAATAACATGTTCTCCACCAGAACCTGTAAGAGTTCTCGACTGTGCTTCAGCATGTTACCCACCATTGCTATTGGAAAGACTAGAAAATTAACTCTCCAAACCTGAGTCATCTGCTGACCCTTGAAGAGCAAGAAAATGCCCTACTTTAAGGCTTCATAAAATGTATTTCCTCTTATTGGAATACAATACCTAGAATCAGGGACGTAACTAGAAATCACAGGGCCCCATAGCAAAATTGCTGGCCTCTTCTGCCGTAGCTGCTGGCTGTCACTGACACAGCTCCGAGGTGGCAAAGAGGGGAAACGCCGCTGCTGAGCTGTGTAAGTGACAGCCAGTACCCTTACATGCCATAGCCACCCAGGCGGCCCACACTGCATCAGAGAGATGCCCTGGCCGGGCCCCCCTGTGCCCGGGCCCCATAGCGGCCGCCTCGGTCGGTATGGCGATTGTTATGCCACTGCCTAGAATCATTACTGAGAAATGAATACCTTAATAAATATACCTATTTGCCTCTTCTGGAGTGTTTTTGTACAGACCCTAATAACATGTTCTCCACCAGAACCTGCAAGAGTTCTTGATTATGCTTCAGCATGTTACCCACCATTACTATTGGAAAGAGTTGAACATAAACTCAGTTATCTGCTGACTTTTGAAGAGCAAGAAAATGCTCTAGGATAAGGCTTCATAAAGTTTATTTCCTCTTATTAGAATACAATACCTAGAATCATTACTGAGAAATGAATACCTTAATAAATATATCTATTTGCCTCCTCCTGAGTGTTTTTGTATGGACCTACTGTATGTAAAATTTCTCCTTAAGTGAACACCAGCTTTTAAAATATTGCTTGTATTTAGGTTGTACACCAGGTACCAGCAGAACTCCCTGGAGATGGAAACTCTTCTTACCTATTAGTACCATCAGTCAACTGTATTATCAGTGAGGGAAACAGATATGTTGATAATTTGGGACCCTAATAACATGTTCTCCACCAGAACCTGCAAGAGGTCTTGATTGTGCTTCAGCATGTTACCCACCATTACTATTGGAATGAGTACAACATTGACTCTCCAAACCCGAGTTATCTACTGACTCTTGAAGAGCAAGAAAATGCCCTACCATAAGGCTTCATAAGGTTTATTTCCTCCTATTTGTATACAATACCTAGAATCATTACTGAGAAATGGGGAACAGATATGTTGATGGTTTGGAACCCTAATTAACATGATCTGCACTAGAGCCTGCAAGGATTCAGCAGGATTTAAGTAAAGCTAAAAACATTTTTTTGTTTTTGTTTTGAATAAATATTTAAACTTCAGGTTTCATTGATGTCTGCTGGGGAGATTTGCCCTCTCCACTTCTCTTGTTGACAATTGTCAGTGGGGCAAAAAGTGACGGAAAATTCAAAATATACGGGATTCACTTCCACTTCCTCATATGTCTCTGAGACTGGAAGTGAAGGGATTAAAAAAATGTAATCATAACAACAAAATGGATATTTGTAATATGCCCAGGGTGTTGTAAAAGGTTATTTTCTAGTTCATCCTTTAAAGGTGACAGGGCTTATACAGAAGGGCACCATTATTTACGTTTGCCGAGGGTAGCATGATGTCTAAATACGGCCCCGATTATGAATAAATGTAATTTCGTTGAACATATAGCAATTTAAAAATGATAAACATATAGTCCCATCTGAATTGGAATGTCTTTATGCCAACAATATAATATATCCGCCACTCAGCACATCATTACAGTGGTCTCTCTTTTTCTGAAAGAATAACTACCATAATGCAATTGTCCAGATGACCAATTTAGTCCAACACCAGCATGGACCAGCTTATCCCTAAGTGAAGGGTAAGGATGAGTTCAGGTTCAGGCTAAACCCAGTCCGAAACCAAGCGCCTCCAAACAAGGAAGTGCCATGGGCACTTTTACCCGATCAGCTGTGGTACGGGCATTTCCTGCCTTGCAGCTGAATGTAAACAAAAGGGCGGGTTTTGCGCGCGAGCAGAAAAAAATTGCCGTCTGGAGACGGCAACCCGCAGATGCTGCAGTGCCGTCCGTCCGTTTTTTTACTACGGGCGGACGGCAAGAGGTTAAAGACAGTCAAGTACGCATCCTAGACAGGGAGGAGGACTGGTGTAAAAGAGGTGTGAAAGAGGCCATTTATGTAAAAATGGAGAAGCCAAGCTTGAATAGAGGTGGGGGATGAGACATCTATTGTCTGCCACATACAATGCTGTTTTAACACCTCTCTCTGGGCAGGTTAATAACACCTCCTAGACTCCAATTATGCAAGTGCAATCAACACCTGGTTGCGATTAACAGACTATGTGGATTGGAACAACATTCACCATATATATTCCCAGAGAATGTTTGTGCAAGTCATTCTGAATTGAGAAAACTGCTTGGATGACCAGTGAAACGTCTTCAAGAAAAATACAGCAAATCCAGTTGCCTTGACTTATTTTTTACAGATATATCATGACCTGGATGAATGAGAACCTTCACAGCCAGGTGTGCTATAGTGTCATGTGCTAAAAAAGGAACATGGCCACACAAATCTGGAAAGAACTCTTTGTTCTCTGTCAGACACACGCTCTTCCAATATGGGCATACAGGTACCATGCCTAACTCCTCCCCTTAAATAGTACAAACGGAAAGAACTTCCACCCCAAATTATTCTGATTAAGGAACTAAGGACCAGTGGGGACACCTAGTAGTAGTACTAGTAGCTGGGAATAGGAATTATATTATATATGGACACCTTAGTATTGATTGGTGATTGCGTGCCTGTGTGAAGAAGAACCATTAGGTAATGATGCAGTGTTCACTAAGTTTTTCCTGTCTCGAGGCTGATGTAGATATCATATGCTGCTTTTTGCATACGAAAGCAGCATTGCTCAATCGTATATGTTTAAACCAAAAATTCAGCAAAGGTTGTGTTTGACCTGCCTTCCATCCAACACAAATTCATCTTAATAAGACCTGCTGGATCCAAAAAAGCACAACGCAGGAAAAAATGCACCCAGCACCTTTGAATTACATGTAAATTTGCTGCATTATATTTGTGTTTCAAAAGCACATTCACATGAGAACCCCTCCCCTTTCACATCAAGAACCTGCTTCACATCAGAATCCCTTCTTATCATCAGGAGACCTTTTTTACCTTAACATTAGGTTCCCGCTTCACATTAGGAGCCTCCTTCGTGCCAGAAACTGGCCTGCACCATGGAAAGGCAAGATGCTGTGAGAACATTTCATGGCAGCCCTGAGGAAGCCAGCAGACATCCTGGTTGAGAAAGGCTGCCCTATATGTCAATCAGTCCTTTAAAGGAGAACTATGGGGTTAAGTCTTTTCCCCATAGTTCTCCTTAGGGTAACGGGAGGACACAAACTAGCGCCCTCCCGTCACCCTAGGCTCAGTATACCGCATACTGAGAAGCCGCAGTATACCGCGAGCAGCTGCTCGCGGTATAGTGAGACGCCGCAGCTGAAGCGGATCCTGACAATTATGTCTGGATCCGCCCAGCTGCGTGAGTGACAGCTGGCTCTGCCTATCTAGAAGCAGAGCCATCTTTACCCTCCCCCGTCCGTTCTGCCATTCAGCGCTGGCGGATCGGAGCGGGGAGGGGGGAATCCAGCCCCTCCCATGTCACGGCAGAGAGCCGTGACAGGATCGAGGGGTAAGCGAACGCCTGTATGTGTTCGCTCACCTCCTGATCTACTGAGCCGACCTGTGACAGTCTCATTGTCACAGGTCGGCTAGAACTATGAGGTGAGTGAAAAGCACTCACCTCATAGTTCTCCTTTAAAGATGAATTCTTAACGTCCTACTCCAGGGACAGTAAACTTACTAAGCTTCAAGCAGGTACACGTTCCGTTACCTGAAAAGCACCCCCCTCCCCCAGCCATGCTGGATTTCTTACCTGTATGATAAAAACATATTATTATTATTAATAATAATAATATTCTGAGTGTTATATCGCATTATGGCCACTAGATGGCGATAAAGGTACATAGGAAATTAATATCTATTTTCTATGCTCCTCACCGCCATCTAGTGGTTTGTAAGGCTCACCATACATGTTCTAGTTCGACAGAACAATCGCTGTACAATCAACTTTAGATCTACTAAAACTGTGTAATATGAGGACCTATGTCAACTATCCAATCAATCTGTATTCCTTGCAGGTGTCAGTATCTTTGTACATCCTCTTCTAGGTTTGCAATCTTGATTGGCTGTGCTGTGTAACTCCCTTGCATGCATATGGGAGTTGAGTCACCTTAGCACCTGGCAGATGTCGGGATTGTACAGACGGGAGAATCCTTTATGCCTCTTCTACAATAAAAAACCTGTTCACAAATGTTTAACTACTTGCCGTCCCAGCTTGTCCCCGCTTTCATGGCAGCAGAAACCTGGACACAAGATGTCAGGCAGACAGGAGCAACCAAAATTAAGATAGGGGCCACTGGCCCCCCACTGAAAATAGTCTCAACTGTGATATTTACATATGAATAAGCCACAACTCAGTCTCCCCCCAAAAATGTCCGCGCGTCGCTAGA